CCCGCGACTGTGGGGAGCCCGGGCAAGCCCCCCCCCTTGAAGGGAAGGGAAGGGAAGGCACTTTAAACTGCCTTCCCTTGGCCTGCCTGGGCGCCCTGTGGCTACGGGGAGCCCAGGTAAGCCAGCCTTTGGACAGGCCAGGGAAGACACGGGGAGGCATTTAAATGCCTCCCCGATTCTTTCAGGGGGGGGCCTGGCCCGCCCGCCTCAGAGTTGCAGGAGGGGTCACTCTCCAGGGCTTCCCTCTGTATAGGGTTGCCAAGTGGATCTTCGCCGGGAGCGGGGGGCTCCTGGCTGGTGTCTGGCGTCATAAAGTTTTCCCTTGGATGGCTGTGGCCCCGCCCCCAGCGTGCCTGGCGTCCTCCCGTCACTTTCGGGTGATGCGCACGTCGGGGCAGAGTTCCCCCCCCGGGGCCCGATCTGGCAGTGCCGGGGAACGGGCCTCTGGGGCGGGGGGACTTGGGATCCCTACCTCTGTAGCCACGCACACAGAGATTTTGGCTGTAGTGGGTGTGGCCAACTCTGAAGCCAGCCAGAACTCCATTCCTGTGTGTTCCTGCCCCAAAATAGCCCTGCATCAGCCTGCTTTGACTGCACTTTCATCTACCTTTGTAATCCACTCTCAAGCCCAGGCTAGCCCAATCCCGTCAGATCTTGGAAGCTAAGCAGGGTCGGCCTCGGCTAATATTTGGAAGGGCAACCTCCAAGGAATTCCAGTGTTGTGACGCAGATCCAGGCAGTGGCAAAACCGCCTCTGAAACATCTCTTGCCTTAAAAACAAGTCTAGCTCGCCACCTAGTGGTGCATAATGCTAGAAAAGCTAGAACTTCTGGCTGCCAAACAATCTTAGGATCTCCCGGCTATTTTACACACAATGCCGTACGATAATTATTAATTATCATCCACTCTCGACATCGTGTATGCTATGTTATGCTTTAGACAGGTTTCTGTTTGTGTTGTTTCCTATTTTGTGTATTCCTAGTCCTACTACTTTTTGCAGTGTGTGGGGGGGGGGGGGGGGGGATATTTTCTAATCTAATTCAGACTCAGCCAGAAAGGCAAGTGACAAGTGAAGGAAATAAATAAATTCCTTATGCAAAAGTGGAAGGTTTTCCCAAAGGAGCCAAACAGAAGGGAGCACAGGCTCTGGCAAAATAAATGTAAATTGACGGGACAAGGCAGAAGGGAATCTGAGAAACTGATTGCTAGCAAGATGAGCAATAAGCATTTCTTCAGATGTCCAATTGAGAATTATATAAACTGATTTCGATCCCCACTAGGGAGGAAGGTGGAATATAAATGAAGTAAAATAAACACTGCAGCTAATAGCCCTTGTGGGCAATGCTTCCTCTAAGCCAGTGATGGCGAACCTTTTAGAGACCGAGTGCCCAAACCGTGACCCAGAACCCACTTATTTATCGCAAAGTGCCAATGCAGCAATTTAACTTGCAGACTGAGGTTTTACTTTAGAAAAAACAACTCGTACATTAACTTAAGAGGATCCAAACAAAGTAAGGAAAGCAATCCCAAATGCTTTCATTTACTTAAAATTATTTGGCAGAGAATTCGACACTTTAATGATGGTCTGGGCCTGGCTGGGGCGATGGCTCTGAGTGCCACCTCTGGCACCCGTGCCAGGCTATTGTGTAAATTAGTTTGCTCTGGAGCCAGCCTTCCTGAGCCAGAGCCTAAAAAACTGTGAGCCAGCTCACACTCACTCAGCTTAGAGGGGGTGGAGGTGTCAAATTCTAGGGGTAGAATTAAACCCCTGATCCAATTTGCCCCTCGGCTGATTTTTAATATTACTGAAGAAAATGTTCGACAATCCAGTCACAGGTCTCAGACTGTCAAACATAGTTTGACCTTAACTGTGGTGGGAAACCTGTGTCTAGGGCTCCACCAGTTCAGCTTTCAGGGGGAAACTCACCTCACAGAATGCCCACCTCACACCAGTCACAGGTCTCAGACTGTCAAACATAGTTTGAGCTGTGGTGGGAAACCTGTGTCTAGGGCTCCACCACTCCAGCTTTCAGGGGGAAACCTCACCTCACAGAATGCCCACCTCACACCCAAAACCAGCATGTCAGACTCAGGGCAAAGGCCCAGTTAAAACTCTGGCTCTCAATGCGGTCGTGTGTGTTTTCTTGTGTAGGGATTTCCTTTTTGGTGTTGAGGGCTTATTCCGTCCTCTGATCCTTCACCAGCCACTTGAAGGGGTGCAGTTTAGCTACAGCTGAGTCCCAGGGCTCTTTTTGTAGAAAAAGCCCAGCAGGAACTCATTAGCATAATAGGCCACACCCAACAGCAGGAACTCATTAGCCTATTAGGCCACACCCCTGACAGCACAGCTCATTAGCACATTAGGCCGCACCCCCATGTTATCAGGTCTGGTCATCCAGCCATACCCACCTTTAGCTTGTTATTCTGTTTACCTTGTCTGTTGTCAAAACCCAGGGCTTTCTTTGTAACAGGAACTCCTTTGCATGTTAGGCCACACACCCCTATTGTAGCCAATCCTAATGAGTTTCTGCTGTTGGGTGTGGCCTATTATGCTAATGAGTTCCTGCCGGGCGTGGCCAACTCGGGAGCCAGCCGGAACTCCGTTCCTGTGCGTTCCTGCCCCAAAATAGCCCTGGCTTTACCACTTCTGTAAGAAGAAGGCTTCATTTCCAAAGTGGAGCTACATCTTCGAAGGGAGCCGCGTCCCACCTCACCTTGAGGAACGCGGCAGGGTCCTGGAGCTGCAGATGGCTCCGGGCTTCCAACAACAATTCCTGGGCCGCCTGGCTGGCTTCCGCCAGTGCCGCCAGCCTCTCTTCTGCCTGTCGAAGAAGGGCTTCTCCTCCCTCGTTCAGCCGGGCCTTCCATGCCTCCTCGCAGCCACTGAGGAAGCGGCGGAGTTGCCGAAGTTCTGTGGAGATGTGGTCTCCAAGGCTCAGTACGATCGCCTGGAAACCAGAGATGCCCGTTTGCAGACCTCGGTGGTGTCCACGCAGGGTGTCCATGGATCCCTCTCCGCCACTGCTTACTCCCCTCGCCCAAGGTCATGACCCCATGCCCTTCCCCCAATTGTTCTGGTTGCCAGCCTCCAGGTAGGGCCTGGAGGTCTCCTGGAATCACAACTGATCTCCGGACTACAAAGACCAGTTCTTTCGGAGAAGATGGCCACTTTAGAGAGTGGACTCTATGGCAGTGATGGCGAACCTTTTAGAGACCGAGTGCCCAAACCGTGACCCAGAACCCACTTATTTATCGCAAAGTGCCAATGCAGCAATTTAACCTGAAGACTGAGGTTTTACTTTAGAAAAAACAACTCGTACATTAACTTAAGAGGATCCAAACAAAGTAAGGAAAGCAATCCCAAATGCTTTCATTTACTTAAAATTATTTGGCAGAGAATTCGACACTTTAATGATGGTCTGGGCCTGGCTGGGGCGATGCAGAGAGGGCTCTGAGTGCTACCCTCTGGCACCCGTGCCATAGGTTCGCCACCACTGCTCTATGGCATTATAACCAGCTGAGGTCCCTCCCTCCCCAAACCCTGACCTCCGCAGGCTCTACCCCCCCAAATCTCCAGGAACTTCCCAATGCAGACTTGGCAACCCTACTGATTGTGAGTCTAGTCTGTCCCCTCCATCACAGTTCCCTCGTCCTTCCAATTGCAGCTACACTTTCCCTTATGCATTTTAGCCCCCTTCAGCACTATCAGGTTTAAAGGAGCAAGGAAGCATCAGTGCGACGTCACAGAGACCTGGGTGGGCTGGGAGGGGCCCAAGATCTTTAACAGTTAAAGAGTCAAACTATATCAAAATGCAGAGCATGGGCGTGGTCCAGCAGTTATAGTGTCGGACTAGGATCTGGGAGGCCCAGGTTCGAATCCCCACTCTGCCAAAGAAGGTTGCTGGGTGGCCTTGGGCCAGTCACATGCTTTCAGCCTAACCTACCTCACAGGTTTCTTGTGAGGATAAAATGAAGGAGAATGATGAAAGCTGCTTTGGCTCTCCATTGGGGGGGAAAGGAGGGATATAAAGGAAGTAAATAAATTAATCAATGAAGCTGTTTTGCAAGACTGCAAACATACAATTTAACCATCGCTGATAATTGGCACATCGGTTAGTGATCCATAAAGCTTCCGCATCCCAAACACTGGTTGTCGTGAGACGTTTACTAGCAAGTGGCACACACCAGCTCTCAGAATAAGTAATAAAAATCTATGTCTGCCCTTCTGTTCACATGTTCAGTATTCTAGCATCCCACCTCCCCTTCCGTTATATTTTAACATGAAGATTTCGTTTCCTTTTTCTAAAGAGCCACGTTGGCTTCCATAATAAAGTGCCACCAAGCCACAACTGACTTACAGCAACCCCTCATGGGGTCTGCAAGGCAAGAGAGGAGCAGAGGTGCTTTGCCGTTGCCTTCCTCTGCGGAGCCTTCCACGGTAGTCTCCCAGCCATGTCCTGGCCAGGAGCTTCTGAGCTCTAACAAGCTCAGGCGATTCAGTGGAGCCACAGGTTCTAGACCCTTGCAAGTAGAATGCAATTCCACTGCCTTCACTGGGCTGTGGGAGATAATCTCCAGTTAAGAGTGAGCCCTCTGCCAGTATGCGGGCCTTGGGATTTGCCAACCCTGGATGCCAGCACCACCCATTTCCCTGTAGAGCCCACCCAAATAGTGATATTTTTAGCTGTTTTAGATTTTCCGGGTTGTCTGGCCGTGGTCTTGGCATTGTAATACCTGACGTTTCGCCAGCAGCTGTGACTGGCATCCTCAGAGGTATAACACAGAAAGATGGAGTACTCTCTGTGTCAAGGTGAGAAGGAAAATGGTAGGCAGGTAATTTATATCTGCTCAGGAAGGCGGGGTAGGGCTGAGTCATTATCTTGTAGGAGTTCCCCAGGCTGTGAATATGCTAATGGAGGAGCTAATGGAGGGGTTCTTTTGTATATGGATTGCCTGTTTCCCGAGGAGGAGGTTCTTTTGCATATGGATTGTTTCCTGAGGTTTCCTGTTTCCTGAGGAGGTTCTTTTGCAGGTGGATTGGCTGTTGAAATTCTAATCTTATCTGCAGTGCTATTGTCAGATGTAGACGTTTTGTGTTTTTCAGGACAGGAAACCATGCCCTATTTATTTTTAAACTCTCTTTCCTGTTGAAATTCTGTTTATGTTTATGGATTTCAATGGCTTCCCTGTCTAATCTGACATGGTCATTGGATGTGATGTCCAGCCTTTCAGTGTCTTGCCAGCAGGGCTTTTTTTGTAGAAAAAGCCCAGCAGGAACTCATTAGCATAATAGGCCAAACCCAAAACCAGAAATTCATTAGCATATTAGCCACACCCCTGACACCACAACTCATTAGCATATTAGACCACACCCCCATGTCACCACACCCACCTTTTGCTTCTCATTCTGTTTACTTTGTTTGTTGTCAAAACCCAGGGCTTTTTTGTAGCAGAAACTCCTTTGCATGTTAGGCCACACACCCCAATGTAGCCAATCCTAATGAGTTTCTGCTGTTAGCTGTGGCCTATTAT